TACATGTCAGAATGATGCTTGCTGGTTTTTTTTTCCCAATGGACTTGCATTGTTGATATAGCATATGATCCACTGTGATCCACGGATCCCTTCCTAGACAGTCATTTCCTGTATTATATGTGTGCCCCTGATTGTTCCTTCCTAAGTGGAATACAGTACTTTGCATTTGTCCTTGAATTTATCCAGTTTTCTTCAGATCATTTCTCCAATTTGTCCAAATGATTTTGATTTTTAATCCTATCCTCCAAAGCACTTGCAAATCCTCCCAGCTTGGTATCATCCTTAAGCTTTTGTAAGTATACTCTCTGTCATTAGCCAATTCATTGATGAGATATTGAACAGACCCAGAATTTATTGCTGCAGGACCCCTATGATCTTCCAGTTTGACTGTGAATCACTGATAATTACTCTCTGGTAATGATTCTCCAACCAATTGTGCATCCACCTTATGCAGCAGTTCCATCTCCATTTCATTTCCCATTGTTTATGAGAAGGTCATGCAAGGTAGTATCAAAAGCTTTTTAAAGTCAAGATATACAATATCTGGCACTTTCCTTCTACCCATAATGTTTACCACCTCATCAAAGAAAGCTATTGGGTTGGTTTGATAGGTTACATTCATCAAGAATTTGTTAAGAACAAATCCTCTCAGCTTATCATCTTCTAGACATTTGCAGACTGATTGCTTACTTATTTGTTCCATTATCTTTTCAGGTATTAAAGTTATGCAAAATTGTCTGTAATTCACCAGATTATCCTTATTTCCCTTTTGATAGCTTGACACTGTATTTTCCCTTGACCAGTCATAGTTCCATGAACTTCATGTATGCTGTAACAATTTACACATCAGGCACCATCCCATGCCTTCCTGTTTGTTTTGTACAGAGCTATGAATGACTATAGTGCTATGGAAATAATAACATAAGTAAATATGGCAGTTGGACTCAAATACCACTGTATAAGTCTAATCTAGTTCCTGAGTGTGTAGGTTAGACACTAGGGAGATATACAAAGGGAAGGAAGAGAGACGAATCTTTTCCCCAGTCTAACCATTTCATAGGGCCTGCTCTAGTATAATGGCTAGACTGGGCAGGGAAGGACTAGATGATCTACATAGCCACTACCAATTTCTTTGTCCCCTGAGAAGAAGCTTTGAACTGCAGGTTTTTCCACAGTATAACCAGTACTCATGTTCTATATTGTTCCAGGTGACTGGTATGAGCAGCTTTATCCCCTCATAATTACACTCAAGGACTGCATGGGAGAGGTGGTGACAAGGGCAAAGCAATCAATGACATTTGTTCTACTTCAAGAACTTGCGTGTGGATTGCCACAGTGTTTGATGCTGACTCTCAGAAGAGATATTGTCTTTAGTCAAGCAGTAGGTGCTTCTTGAGTCACTGTTTTTCTGTGTATTTACATTATTGTAATTAATCCTGGCATCCATGCAGGTATTCATCATTTCTTTTAATGCAACACAACTTCTTAATTTGTTTTAATTCATTCACTTCAATTTTCTTTGCTATGTTGAAAAATTAAATGATTTAGGTTGGGATTGAATCTTAGGCTGGGTTTTCAAAGAGCCTAATGGATTTAAATGAACAAATGTTACTTAATTTAAATCGGAGTTGGGTGCTTAATTACCATAGGTGCCTTTGAAAACCCCAACCTTAAATGTTAACAGACTTAAGGGTATCTTTCTGATCTCAGTTACAGCAGTGTAAATCAGAAGTAACCCACCTAAGTCAATGAAGTTTCATGGGGGTAAAACTAGTTTAAGGTCACAGTGAGATCCATATATTTTCTGTGTCTGTTACGCTACAGAATCCATAATATAGAATTTATATCAAATATTTTCACCAAACAATTTCTATCTTGTTCCTCAAACTCCAAAGTATAACTTGTATCCTAAAAAAAAAAAGTTGTAAAACTGTTAGATTACACTTATTAATCTGTTTTTCACACAAACTTTTTCATCTTTTTTTTTTTTTTTTTTTTTTTCAAATTGCACATAAGTATACATGATCAAGGCTTCCTACAACAGCTTCATTCTGTTGGGTTAATTGTTCAATATGAAGGACTTCTCAGCACATATAGTAAGTATTCCCTTGGGATAACATTGCTTATTGGTTTTGTTTTTTTTAACAAATCAAGCAATTCACCCAGAAGTTTATTTTAATTCAAATTCATTGACTTATTGAATCAACAAATATAATCCTAATAAGAGACATCAGACTTCCATACACTAGCACCATTAAAACCATTGATAAAATCCTATATTGTCAGATAAGCATAATAAATTATAGTAATCTGTTTTTAATTTCTTTTGAAAACATACATTTTGTTTCCACAATACAGTTATTGTGACTTTTGTATTGTAAAAATACACTAAACTATAGTACATATGTTTAGCCTGACCCAAAGAATTGGTTTATACGACTAAGGATGTTAGAGTGTAAACTAACTGTTTAACCAATAGGTGGATGCTTATCAGTTAACATTCTCAGTTACACTCAGCTTTATACTGCAGAGCCCAGAGCATGTGTAACTGCTGAGATTTCCAGCAGTTACGTGGTTACCCTATTGCATGGTTTTTAACATCCCTATATACAACTAAACTATATACCCATTTATCTTAGCTATTAAATCTACAGTGTGCAGCCAGACCGTATTTCTGGAAATTACATGGTGGTCTTGAGGAAGACAATGCTAAACTATTTTAATTCCCTACTGCTTCATAGATGCTGAGACACAGTACGCTCCAGCTTGCTAGTTCACTTTAGAACACAGTTTTGCTTAACACACAGCATTTAGATTTTTCATAGGGAAAGTAAGTACAAGTGTATTTAACAAAGGACAACAGATTCCGGCAATAGCGAACAGAAATATTGGAGGCAAAGGATGACTTGTGAAATAAAATCGTTATGTGCTTAACTAACACATTTTTTTCTCCTGTATAAAGACTGTTTCTCACTGGGTGTTCTTCCCTGTGATTTCAGCCTAACCTGACTGAGAACCTATTTTTATGAAGCAAACCCACCTCCTATCCTCCTCAAATCCTTTCAGGTATAGACACTAGCTACGTAATCACATCTGCATCTGTTAACATTTTTTGTAATTTTTTTCTGTACAGGTGAGGAAATTGGGATGCTAGAAGATATGTCTGTGGGCATTTCAGATTTACAGAAAGTAATGTTTAAAATCACTGAAGCCAAATCTGATGACTACTTGCCTCTAATAACTGGAAGGCGGTAAGTGTTCTCTATTTGCTGAAGCACAAGCCCAGAGGTGTAACTTTTGCTGGTTAAAATCAGGTGGAAACCCAATTAAAGCGTTTCTTTCTGCTGTGTTCCCTAATCTGGGAAAGGCTATAAATGTGACTTATCTGAACTGAGTAGAGGGCCTGTAATAGTAGTAATGTCCTGGGTACCCTGTAAAGGTGCAGTAATGCTTTGGACTTCATGCTGCGTTCATGGAAGCATGGAGCACGGGCTGACACGGAGCCCCGGCAGCCCCAAGACAGTGGAGCACCAGTGGCCTGGTGCAATGGAGCCCAAGAGGCACCCCACTCCAGGAGCAGAGATCTGGAGGCCCCTGAAGTGCAGAACCTCAGCAGCCCCGGGGCAGCTGATCCCTGGCAGCCCCAGGACAAGAGGGAAGCCAGTCCAGATAGCAGCAGAGGTGGGTGGGGATTTGGGTCTGCTGATGGATCCCGGAGTTCATTAGCATAGTGGCTGGAGTTGATTTCTGTGGTCTGGAAAGATCTCTCCTTCAGGATAAGGATGTTAAATAACGGTTAATTGACTAGTCTATGGAATTTCCATCAACTAGTCAATAGGCACTTCCTCATTCCTCCTCTGAAATGTACAAGAGCCCCTGCTGGGATTGCGGAACTCCGCATGCAGCCCTGGGCCAGCGGGAAGTCCCACTGATTCCAGGCTGCGTGTGGGAGTGCCAGCTTTGAAATGTACAAGAGTCCCCCACTGATCCTGGGCTCCATGCTGCGCTTTCGCTTTGAAATGCCACATGGAGCCGGGGTCAGCTGAGGACTCCCCTGCTGATCCCAGGCTGTGCACAGCATTTCAGCAGAACCCAGGATCAGCTGGGGACTCCCTGGGCTCAGCTGTGCAGCGCTGCCCCTTTGAACACCGTTTCCGCATTTCAAAGGGGCAGCACTACACAGCTGAGCCAGGGAACAGCTGTGTGCACTGCCACTTTGAAGTACCTCTGATAGAGGCAGCAGGAGGAAGGGAATCGACTAGCCCTTAACATCCCTAGTTCAGGACAGGTCAGGTCCCAAAGGTTCTAGATCAGGGAAGTGCAACCTGTATATATTAATTCTCAGTTTCCTTGTGAGTAGTGTACTGGGGTGCTATCCATTTTTCTATACAGGAAAACTGAAGCACAGAGAAATCAGGGCCAAAATTTTCATTAGTGCCTCTAAATGTGGTTGTCTCAAATGCAGGGGCTCAGTTTTGAGACACTGGAGGGCCTTGTCCTCAGAGGTTCTGAACCAGGGGGAGGCAAAAAGGCCTCCACAGGCCAGATCCAGCTCGCCAAGCAGGTGGATCTGGCCCATGGGGGCTCTGCTGCTCTCCCACCCCCAAACCAGTTAGGGTCTAGTTTGATTGGTCTGGGGGTGGGGAAGTGTGAAAAGCCTCTTGTAGGGCATGGGTGCCTAGTTGGAAGGGGGGAAGCAAAGGGGCTCCCCCACCCCCAGACCAATCATGGTCTGGAGGTGGAGTAGCCCCACCCCTCCTGTTTAGGCCCCACCCTTCTGGGGTGGCCTGGGGCTACTTCAAAAAATTTTGAAGTGGCCTCCAGGCAAAAATTATTTCCCATCCCTGTTTTGAACATTCAATTTCCATTCTTGTCTGTGGAGATGTGGCACTGCATCTCTGAAGACCTGATCTGATGTATCTAACTAGGGAACCCAATATTAAAATAAACCAACATTTAGAAAAAAATTAACCTTGTGATTTGCTTAAGGTCATATAGGATACTTGTGGCAGAGTTGGACATTAAAACAGCTGTTTTAAATCCTTAACTGTGCTTTAAATACTAGTTCACTCTGCTTCTGAAAGAAGCAGTACTAGATTGTAGAACAAATGGAATACTGTAATAGTGTTTGTGACATACAGTGATTGAAAAGTAGTTTGCAATTGATTAACTATTTTTTCTTCTTTATTATTATCCAAATCTAAAGCTTCAAATGTTTTTCATTGCACAGAACTTATTTCCTTAATAGTGCTATAATTCTTAAGATGACAGTAAACTAAATTCAGCTAAGAGCAGCGACTTTTTAGAAAAGATGTAATTCCACTGCTGGGGAAGGAGGCAGTATTCACCACTATTTTTCTTTATTATTTCTGACAGTTCATTCTCATATTTTGAGCATTCTGAGAAGGGACTGAAATAAATAGCCAGGAAGGACAGAGAATGATGGGAAAACATTAGGAATAATTAAGAAAAATTATGGTGTATAGAGTAAACCATGAACCAAGGAAAGACATCCTTTGTAAATCATTCCCATCAAAAGTCTAGAAAAAAATTCAACAATCACTGTTTCTGGCTTGGTGCCATTACTGCAGCTGATTGAACTGTCATTCTAGGAGGTCCAGGTTTTGAAATAGGCTTTAAGATACTTGAGGCATTATTGATTGATAGAACAGACAGTTGTCAGGAAGAAGAGTTACTGCCTATCATTACTATACGGTACTTGCCAATGGGTGAGCCACAGAATGAAATCGGTTGTATCAGTTTATAAAAAGAAGCTTCACCTCTGCTGAGACCCATTTCAGTTAGAGATGTGATGATGCAGCACAAATCAGGGCTATTCAGGTTAAACGTAAAGAGCCAAAGTGCAGTCAAAACCTGAGAATTTTCTGATCACTGTGCAAAAAAACCCACCCTCTTTTCTGACAAGAATGTTGTTGTTTTTTCTTTGGTTAATTTTATATAGTAGATATTTCTAAAATGAAATTTAAAGGGAGACTGTGGAGCTACTAGATGGGAAAATTCATTTATCTCTTTTTGTTATAAAGCTCGCAAAGTGAGAGTATTATCTGAAATTTGCTTTCCAGAGAAATGCTTAGGTACTACCTCTTACGTATGACAATAAGCTAATGCAAACATCACAGCATTACGTTTGCTAAAGACCCAAAACACTTTTTAGTAAGCAATGTTCAGTTTCACAAGTTTAAACAGTTGCTAGTCACAAAAGTAGTTTAAAAAAAAGAGTATTTAAAACATTTATTGGCAATTTTCTATTATATACATGAACTTTAAGGCATAACAGGGTATTTCATTGTAAAAACTTTTGGCTATTATTTTTTTATCACCACCTGCATGGTTAAGGCAAATGGACAGTCCCAAAATTTAAATAATACCTAAATGTGGTGATGTGATCTGTTATCATTCTCAACCTATTTAGAATTTCTGTTGCAAGAGATACTAATAAATGCTAAAATTTTATAATGATTTTTAGAAACATAGGATTAGAAACAAGCCCCTAAATCATTAAATCCAGTCCTCTGCTATTACAGGCAATCCAGGCACATATCATATTTTTAATCTCTATCTTAAAGCTAGTTAGGAATAAATAGAAAGGGCAAACAAGCTGTGGACGAGAGATCAGAAGCTCATTCCTCTGATGGTTCCTTCTTATCGCAGCTCAATAGCATTTCTTAAAATAATCTGAGGCCGCTTTTGTCATTGTGCAATTCAATGGAAATTGAAAAAGTTCTGCAAGGTGGTCTAGTACCACTGTGGATAGCATACAAAAAACAAACACCACATTTACAATGTTTCCCATTTGTCATATCCAAAAGCGACATCTTATAATTTTCTTTTATAGTCCAAAGATAGTGATTCTTGGATGTGAAATGCAATGATTATGATGGTCTTTTGAGTTTGTTTAGAAGCACTTATTTTTTAAAATTAGACCGAGTCAACATTTCTTTTCACGTGCCATCATACCATAGTAGCAGTACAATAGCATTTTGATTATCAAGATTCAGCAATTAAGAATTCCAGTCCACAGGCTGGGGATGAGTGCCATTATGCAAAGGTCATCTGAAAAGAGTTTTCTGTGCAAGCAGAAGCCTCATCCACTCTGTACTGCTTGAAACTAAGGAATTAAATACAGAAAACATAAATTAGTTTTACCTGGGGCATAGAGCCTTTTTTGCTTTGAGACTTGCACTACTAGCCCACAGCTAATGTTACTGCTAATGAGAGGACCTACTTGAATAGAGCATATGTTGATTAACAATACCGGATTTGCCTTACTTCTAACTGAGTTAGGGCATGTGTAAGGCCCCTGTCTGGCCCCGCTATGTGTGGTCACCAGTCTGCAATACTGGACCCAAACTTGAAATCTTGCTTGCTTCCAAACACACCAGGTCTGGACAGTATATCTAGATCTGGCCTTTCAAACACACTCCCACAAATTTCCTGTTTGACTGCACTTGAGATGGTAGGAAACCATGGTCCAGCTGCCCAGACTTCCAGGAGCCTTCCAAATTTCCCCTGTAGCTTATGCATGCTCTCATGATCTCTCTACAGCTCCACCTATATGGACATGCTAGATCTTTCATGTCCAATATCATAGAACCATAGAACTGGAAGACACCTCAGAAGGTCATCAAGTCCAGCCCCCTGCTCTAGGCAGGACCAATCCCAATATGCTCACCACTAGCCACATGTGGCTATTTGGCCAGTTGAGTGTGGCTAGTTCACTGGAGCGGCTACTGCTTCAGAACTGGATGGACTCCACAGTGCTAGATTATACTTTAATTCTTCTAGCACTGCATGACAGATCTAGGAAGGAACACAAAGATTATACAGAAGAACTGCTTAACCACTCCCACACATTATTGTGAAACAGTACAAGAATTATAAAGAGCTATGCAAAACAACAGACCCTTGTATGCTCTCCTCTATGAGTCTGTACTAGCCCTATCCTTGCATCAGGTGGGTAAGTCTTTCCTTGCCCTCTTCCCTTTGATACTGTCTGCTTTCTGGCAATGTTTGGTTTGTCTCCTCTGGCTGGCTGGAAAGCCCTCATTGGGTAATTGAAGCCCCAGTCCTCTGGATATAAACCGGGAGAACCAGCTTCCATTGCCTTAGTCTCTAGATTTAGTAATTCCATGGTTCTCTGAGAGCAGAGGCACCTTTGCTGTTTTTCCATTCAGGGTCAGACACCTAGGCACAAATCCCATTTCAACAAGATGATGATACAATACAACTTGATGGTAACAGTATAGTGTGAAAGACACTATCAAAGCAATAGTCAAAATTGAGGCTTGAAACATGATTTTCATAAAATGAGACTAGACACACAGATAAAACACCAAAATTGTTACATCATGTTACTTCAAAAGCACCAGAATTCATATTTGTGTAATGAACCATCCTTTTTTTTTAAACTATATTTTTCTAGTGCCACTGATCCACTGAACACAGTGCAGGTTTTGCCATTGATTGCGATAGGGCAAAGATGTCACCCAGGTTTTCACTGCATACAAGATGTTATGCAAATTGTATTGGAGTGCACTTCAGGCCAATTCGAGTCCAACCCAAATGGAAATTGTGGTGTAGCTCAGCATATGGCATTTTAAGGGTTATATTAATATTTCTATAGCAAGTGATGAGGCAAGAGGCTCTTCCTTAATTTTTCTACTTCAATCGCTTTTTAATCCTTTTTTCCACTTCAGTGAAGAAGTCATTATCAAGACCTAGTTTCTAATTATATTACTGATCCTATTTCCTTATAGATGTGCTGTGGTTTTAAAACAAAAATAAATGGAAGAGATTTGAAATTATAAGGTTTAATACAATTATCAGGGGCAAAACACATTGATTTCTAAGTGTAAACATTCTTTGCTGTGGGACCTAGAAAAGTGATAGTTTAGATTGAACAGCTAGATAGTCTCATCTCTTATGCTTCCTCTTATTTTCCTAGTGATCATTATGTAATAGAGGTCAAGCTTCCAGCAAAGATGTTTGAGCTGCTGCCACAAGAGATCAAAGAAGGAAAGCAGCTGCGTGTGTACCCAGTCCTCTTTAATGTTGGAATCAATGAACAGCAAACACTTGCAGAGAGGTAAGGCAGCACCTTTAGAGAGATACATGTTTCAATTTCTGCTTCTGATGTTTGTGATACTCCAGATGGTCTTTCACAGGATTACATGGAATCTTGCTTATTACTTGCCCTGTGCCAGCTCAGATTCTTCTGGTACATATTAGAAATATAAATCAGATTAAGGGAGATAATCCGATGGTATGAACTAAAACAAACAGTGCAAAAAGTCAGGAAAAGATATATGATAAAATATTCATCTATTTCCTACAGTTAAAACCTGATTTGTCCTTGAATATACACACTTATCTCTAGTTCACACTGACAGAAGTGATGTATTCTCAAAGAGCAGATTTTCGCTCTTTTAAACATCTCTTGGAAAATCCTAAAACCACTTAATTTGTTATCACAGCATGTGAAGTTGAAATGTTGAGCAGGTAACAGGCACTGAGGGATACATACTTTCCTCGTGCTTAAAAAAATGGATAATATGGGGCAAATGAGTAGAGAGAATAGGTAATAAATTGGTTATGTCCCAGTTGCAGGAATGGTGATGTTATATTATCCTAAACTTTCAATATATAAATATGGCAGCCTACAGCCTCTATATATCAAGCTATTCAGAATATAGTGCAGTTCCTATTAAAGATTCATCAAACTATTTACCTGCTTCCTAGGTGAAGAACGGCTCTCGGTAATGTTAAATAATATACATGACGACAAGGAAGCGCCTCCAGAGTTACATGTTGCTAATATTTTTGGTGCACTGTACAGTTAGAGAAAACACATTCTTATTTATTATTTGTATTATTGTGTATAGAACTCTAGTCGTGGAACAGAGCCCCAGTGTGCTGTACCAACACAAAACAAGAGATGGACTATACTCCAAAGAGTTTACAGTCCAGGGTTATGACTGAACTTGGAGCTGAAGGTGTGTTTTAGCTCTAGGAGACATATCCATGCTAGCATTGATTGAGATACCATGCTAAAAATAAAGTACTTCAGCAGCAGAAAAGGTTAGCTTCTCCAAGCCCAGCTGAGACAACAGCTTCTGCTCAAGTGGTAATTGAGACTTCCAGCTCTTTGTGAATACATAATCTAAGTTTAAGAAAAGAGATGGATGGATGGACACAGTAGTACAAGGATACAGGGCCTAATCTTTGTTGTAGGCATCGATGCATAGAAGAATTGTAGGGATTAGATGAAGAATAAGGAAGTAGCATTGTAGATGTTTTTGGGGGCAGCATGAGAGAGAGCTTGTTTTAGAAGGGACTTGCTTTAGAAGTTTGAACAAGTTGGTGATAGAGGCTGGCATGGACCAATCAGAAGCAGGAATTGACATCTCAGTAGTGAACTGGAGATAAGTAAGGTGGGACTAGGCTGTGAAAAGCCTTAAATCTGAAGATGAGTAGCTTATATTTGATGCAGTAAAGAAAGGGAAACCAGTGGAGAGAAGCAAAGAAAGATATCATCAAAATGACAGGCTCAGAAAATTATATTTGCAGCAGCATTGGGAATAAATATGAGCAGGGCAAGATTGTATTTGACAAGGCCAGAGACAAAAGGTATTGCAAACTGTGAGATGAGAGCGTAGAAGAGAGTTTTAGCTATGTAGATGGATAGGAAGGACTGGGATCTTAGAGATGTTAAGCAGAAAGAATGAGCAAGATTTAGATATAGCCTGGATGTGAGAATTTAGAGGAAGAGCTGAGTTGAAGATGATGCCTAAGTGACAGGGAATATGGTGCTGTTGTCCATAGTAATCAAAGTACTGCTCTTTTTCACACACACACACACACACACACACACACACACACACACACACACACACACACACACACACACACACACACACACACACAAATTCATGTCTGGCAAGCAGATCAAATTGGATTAATCTATGGAGAAATAACTATGCTGCCATTTTAGGTATAAACATAAAACTTTAAGTTAATAATAATATCCCACTTCACTGGACTCCCCTGATTTTTAAAGATTCTCATTTGTACTAGAGATTTGAAATTAAGACTGGGAACACTTAATGTGTTTTGTAGTATTAAGATTATCTAAAAGAATTGGAGAGAGATGATAATATGAAACAATAACAATAAAATCATCTTTTATTAATGTTCTAATAAATGTTATTTCAGTAGAACAGAAGATCTCCAGTGTCAGTGAGCCTCAGCTAGAAATATATTCAATTTAAGAGTAACTCTGTCACACTAGGGAAGTGATAGGCAAGCTGCAACAGAAGAGCAGATATAGTTAATGTTTATTTGGATTGCATTGTAAGAAGTCATGCATATGACATACAGAAATCATGACAGGGTCTTACAGTACAGCATTACAATCTAGGAATTGTTTACATAGATCTTTAACCCTCTCTGTATCACACAACTTAAGAATTTAGATCCAAATTCTGCATGCACATTTACACAACTTCCATAGTACAGTTCAGCTGGGACAGATGTGGACAGTGCAAAGATGCAGAGGAAGGGTGGTGGCATGGTATTTTATCAAAAACAATGTAGCCAGGCTAGCCAAACGACCCATGAAAGATTATCCACTTTCTCTATTGCAACACTTACATATTGTGGTAATGGGCACAGTGGTGGCTTAAGCTACTGCAGCCATTGCATACAATAGTGGCTGTGGAACTATTGTTTGATGTTTTTTCCTTATCTGGGTGGTGACCTCAGGCTATCTGAACCGAAAGCTAGGGTAACTAGTCTGTTTGCTAGGAAATAAATCAGTGGGGGTAGAGAACCACTGGCTGAGAAATGATTGGTACACAGCAGAGTTTTTTCCTCTCCAAAAATCCTTTGCTTTTATTGAATACAAAGAACACATCAAAATTAGCAATAATCTGTTTACCCAAAATATAAGTCTGAAGTGGTGTTGAGTGACAGCAGCAGGTTTCTGCTGCCCAGCCTTCCTCTTAGTTGCTGTGAATCGTGGAATCCTAGAGCATTAGGATTGGGAGAGACCTCAGGAGCTCATTTACTTCAGCTCCCTGCTCGAAGCAGGACCAACATCAAATAAATCATCCCTGCCAGGGCATTGTCAAGATGGACTTCAAAATCTGCTAAGGATCAAGGTTTATGCCCGTGTTTTGCTCCTAGAAAATTCAAACTTTTCCAAAGTACGCACTCTAGCTAAGCTTCTTATAAGTAATTGAAAACAAAGCATCACTCCGAATAAGTAGTTATATAGGCTGACCATTTCTGTAGCAAAAGTAGGAATGTAAGCGACTAATCGACTAGTCAACTATCTGATAAGGAAAAGCTTATTGAATAATCGACTAGTCGCTTCCTCCCCACCCCCCGCTGCCTCTATCAGAGATAAGGTGCTGGGGGGAGTTAGCTTAAAAGCCATTCCCCCCGGCTCCAGTTCCATGGAAGGGGGCAGGGGTGCAGCGGTGGCATTCCACCTTTGAAATGTACAAGAGTCCCTGCTGGGGCTCTGGTTGATATCAAAGTGGAAGTGCCGCATGGAGCTCAAGGCCAATGTGGGACTCAGAATCCTCCTCTGGCCCCAGTGTTTCAATCTTTGAAATGCACAAGAGCCCCCTGCTTTGGGTCTCTTGTACATTTCAAATTGGAAGTGCCACATGGAGCCTGGGACCAGCAGGGGACTCTAAGTCCCTCCTCTGGCCCCAGGCTAAATGCAGTGTTTTAGTCTTTGAAAGGAACAAATGTACATTTCAGAGCAGAAGCACCCTTATCAACTAATTGAATAGTCAATGGAAATTCCAACGACTATTTGATTAGTTGATTAATCTAATTTTAACATCCATAAGCAAAAAATAGAACTCATAATTTCTGCTTATCAGTAAAGCAATACTACCAAGAAACATATGGAGACAGGCACTCAGACTAATATCACATATCCTTATTGGTAACACTGTGGCTGTGCAGATTGGGTTTTTTTGTCTGCCTAAGGTAGGCCAAATTCTTTCTCCTTAGATGGTGTCCTCACTTCCAACCTATGGTGAACTGTGCATTATGTCAAGTTTGTGTCTCATAAAAGGATCTAGGTTGAACCTTGCTGGTCCAGCACCCTTGGGACCTGCCTGGCCCCAGACTAGGGGAGATGGCTCCACTTTTCCTCCTTGGCTGCCCCACTGCTGCCTGGAGCTCTGCCCATGGTGAATCAGGGTCTCTACTCTCTTCCCCCCGCTCTCCTGCCACCAGGGAGTCTGCTTTAGCCCTGCAGTTCTGCTGCCACCCAGGGGGCACTCTGTATTCCCCCCAGCAGCTTCCACTGCCCCCTGGGGTTCCATGTTCCACCCTGTGGCCCTGCTGCCACCAGGGGCTCCGTGCTCCAATGGGCAGTTCTGCTGCCAGCCAAGGCTCCACTCCCTTGACCCCCAAGTTTGGCAATGCTCCTAGCCTTATGGGGTCATCCTGATGATTCTGGACCAGGGATGGTGCCAGACCAAGGAAATCAGGATTACAGAGATTCAACCTGTTCTACAGTTATCATAGTAAAGCACCTTCCATAGATTATCACCATACAGTAAAGACCTTCTGATTTTCCTCTCTTATTCCTAGTGAATCGCTGGATTTTTTTCCCTTCCTTTTCTTCCACTTCTTCACCTCTCATGTGCCCCTCTCTCTCTCTCTCTTTCTCTCTCTTTTCTCCATATCCTTCTTCCAGCTCTTTTTGCCCTTCCTTTGTTCTTCTGTTGTCTTTTCCTTTTTGCTTCGGATTTTATGGAAAAGCTAGACTTGGAGATGTTACATGTCTCTCTGGAGGCAGTGACCTCAGAAACTATTCTCAGCTCTCCAAAAAGAGAGTTCTATAGTTTTGAACCTCCTGCAAGAACACTCTATTTTCACTGTCAGCAATTCACTCTAGAGGTGTGAAGAGTAGCATCTGTGAATCCTAACTGTCATGGAAAATCATAGTCTTAGAAAGAATTCTCTTCAATGCATCTATACTACTGCCTGTTATTGACACACTGAGATGGATCCACTGGCAGTTGATTTAGCAGATCTCATGAAGAGGTGCCAAATGGACCACAGATTGACATTCCTTACTCTTCTCATCCGTGTTAGAGTAACAGGGTTGTCAGTAAAGCAATGTGAGAGTTTCTCCCATTGCCCCCTTGAGGTATAAACCCTGTAGTAACTCAACTTAAGATATGTTGACTCCAGCTACATTACTCAGCTGAAGTTTCGTATTTTGTCAGCTTTCTGCTGTTGTGTAGTTGTAGCCTTAAGCAGCTTAGGCCAATGCCATGAGAGCCTTAGATATGAGAACAGACATCCTGAAGTTGACTGGGTGTCCTGTGAGGAGTCAGACTATTGAACTTTTGGGTGAAAAAATAGGCAATAGCATAGTGGAACAACTGAAGCCTTTTTCAAGTGTGTCTTTTAGCTTCACTTAAATGCAGCCACCGTTATCTAGACTGAAGGCCACAAAGTTGTGAGTCACAGTTCTAGGCCACTATCTAACAGCAAAGGACATCATTTAGCTAGCTGATGATGCAAGAAAGAATGCCTGAAATCTTAGTCCAGCTGATGAGGAACAAAGAGAGGAGTCCATAAGGATCCAAGGATATGAACCTTGATTATTTGCTGCAGACAGTAAGTAGATTGTGCAGCAAGAGTGGTGGTGAAGTGGTCAAAATGTTTTTGTTTTCAGCTGCTGAGTTCAGCTAGACATTGGTATAGTTGAGCAAAAGCATTATTTGCATCACAAGTAAATGGGATGTAAAAGCTGGTGATGTTTGTAGAAAGGCAGATTGGCATTTACTTCCACAGCAACTCCTTGCATTTACTCTGCCTGTCTACAGGAAAGTTGGATTTGGAACTTAATAGTCATGAGATGCAAGTAAGCAGGGTTTTTTGTCTATTAGTTTGTTCATTTGTTTGAAAGATGTTTAGGAGTGGTTTAAACTAGTGTTTTTAATGGTGTCATATATTTTAGATTTGTGTTGTATCTGTTTTAAACAAATATTAGGAAAAAACAGTTCTATTTGCATAAGGAAGCCATAGCGAAGACTTAGTTAAGTATGTGTGTTGCATCTTGGTTTCAGGTAAGTCAGTAGAGTGGGGATGTATTTGTTTATAGAATTTATTTTTTTTTATTTCCAACATTGCTCTGTGCTTTTCTTTTTCTTAAGGTTTGGAGACACCACGTTGCAAGAAAGGGTTAACCAGGAAAATTTTGAACTTCTTAAAGAATATTACAAGTTGTTTAGTGAAAAAATGCCTCCTGATTGTAAGTATAAAATTAATAATACAACATTCAAATGGATTTTAACACAAGTTATAGGTGATAGACCACAGCAAATTGTAATGCTGAAACTTTAAAAGTGTTATTGTGCAGTTGCTTTATGTTTAAATGTCAATCTTGCAACGTATTCCAAGTAGGTGAACCCCATGGCTGTATGGTATACCACTGGGGACCAGCTGCATAGCACAAGTTGCAGGATCCCAGGCCAAAGCAGAATGGTGAAACAGTAGCAATGTAGTAAATTACTGTATCATGTTTTGTATATTTTATTAATATAAGTAGAGGTAACTACTAGGGATGTAAGTGACTAGTGGACTAGTTGACTATCCGGTAAGCATAATCAGAGTCCCTCAACTAGTCACTTCCTCTCCCCCCTTTGCTGCCTCCATTAGAAGCAATGGGAGGGAATGGGACCTAGCTTAAAAGCCAGTCCCCCCCCAAGCACAGTCTCCGCAGAGGGCAGAGGAGGCAGGGGCACTAGCCGGGAATCAGCTGATTCTCAGCTTGCACCCAGTCGAGACACTGCCTGCTGGCTCTTAATACATTTTAAAATCAGAAGTGCAGCAGGTGAGGGGAAAGGGAGAAACCAGTACAAGCCACGACAGCTGATTCCCAGCTCACGCCAGGTCTCCCCTGCTGCACACCAGCTTTTTAAATGCAGCAGAGAGAAGGGGGTTAAGAAGTGGGTTGTACCCATGAAAGCTCATGAGATACCATCTACATTTTTTGTTAGTCTCCAAGGTGCTGCAAGACTATTTGTTTTTTTTTTTTTAATTTTTACTAGAATTAGTGGCATTCGGGTTAGTCTTTTTTTCACCTTGACAGCTAATCAGATTTTTTCTTTTGCTGCTCCTCTCTAACTTTGATGTTTGCAATTGCCATCTCTTTAATCTGCAAATGAATAATTTTAAGTACTATGCAAGACAGCCTTTCTTGTCTGAAGTTGCCAGAATTGTTGCATTAGCTAGAGAGTAGACTCTTGCTAATGAATTTACTCTCTATTTGCCTGCAGCAATAATCTAAATAGGTGACAGGCTGAGAAACTCAGCTTTTCAAATGGCTGCATGAAATGACTTTATCTCTGACACCGTAACTCCTTATTTTTATAAAGAGATAGAAAATCTTCATTTTTTCACTGTGTTCTTGTCTTACACTTACAACTCACTGTTAGATTAATGTTTTAGAATGTTTTTCCTTCCACAGTTTGTAAAATCTTTCTATTTTTCATCATACATTACTTATTAAAGATTGGATCTCTTACAGTATTATTCTGGGTTGCTCTGTTATGTGCATTAATGTGCAGTGTGCATCTCAAAGCCACCATTACTTACTCCTCTCTTCCATGCATATGGTATCACTGACAACAACCTTTTCTCCTTTACCCATATCAACAATCCTCCCTCCTCCCCCCAAATCTGCCTCTACTCTGTACACTTTTTATAAAATCCAGAATTGGCCTTCTACTATCTCTTGTGGCTTGAAAAAAGACCTGAACTGGATGGCCCATTATAAAATCCCTTTTTCTTTGATTCAACACCCATCTGACATCAAAAGCTATGTATGGGGAACTTCCAGCCCACTCAGTTAGCCTCATTAGCACAGGCATTACAATTGACAGGTACTTCCCCCCCCCCCCCCCTCTTTTTTTTTTTTTTTTTTACTGTCCCGCGTTTATTCTGATGATAAAATGTAACTGTTCTCCCACGTGTCTTCCTCCTTTCACCTCATTTTTACTGTTGCTGCTGTCTTCTCAGTGTCCTTGATCTTATTGCAGTCATTGACAACCATCTTTCTGGACCACCTCTGTGTAAGAATGTTTCCCTTCAAGAACTGGGCTTATCTTGCCTCACTGCACATTTTTCATCACATCACATTTCTCTTACTGCAGCTTCTCTATTTCTGATAGAGATGTGCAATTCTTGGTCTTTCTTTACATTCTTTCCTCTGTTTATTTTCTCTCCATCTTTTAATTGCATATACCAAATGCTGATACTCAGCTAGAGAGGAGAAAGAGATACAGACACCATTCAACAGCTTTTAATAACTCATCTCCATCTACCCTTTCTCTGCTCTCTTGACATGAGATTTCTCTACACAGGGAAGTTTAATGTGCACTAAGGTAGAATGTGGATTTACAGCGCATTATCTACACTGCAATTACTCCCTGTATGAACATTCTTACTGCACAGCTGGGGCACATCTACACAGCAAGGCAAAAGCCCTATTAAGATATCCAACTTCAGCTGTATCAGTTGCATAACTGAAGTCAAAATAGCTTAATTCGGCTTTTGGTGCTGTCTACACTGCAAGAAGTCGAAAGAAGAACACTCTTCCTTCAATTTCCCTTATTCCTTGTAAAATGAGGGTTACAGGAGTCAGAGTAAAAAGTCCTCCAGATCAACATTATTTTAAAATAATGACTTGCTGTGTAGACATGCATTTTGGTATTTCAAAATAATGTTAGTTATTCTTAAAGAACACTGCTGTGTAGACATACATTTGGAGAGCTTTAAGTACATTTTAAGGTGTAAGTGTTCAGCTACATTCCAGGACTTCTGCTGCTCTGTGAGTTACAGCACAGCAAACTGGTACACTGTAGATTCATATCCTGGATTACTGAGATGCAGCTCGCTGTGAAGATAAGCCCCAAGTAAAGTTTCGGCTTCGTTTCAACTGTCTTCAGTTAAATGTCTTACAGACAGAAATTCCTTTCTTGACTAATGGTGCTTACCAAGCAGAACCACCTCTTGCCTACTGACCATTATCAATTCTTCCACATCCTGATCTGCCCATCGGCACCTCTGCAAAATTGCTCAACTATACCACTGATTTAAGTCCCAGTTTGTTATACCACTAATTCCCCTCTTGTCTTTACTGTTGGATTTCCCAGTGGCCTCCTCAAATCCTAGCTCTTCAGGCTCCACCATTTTAAACATGCTGTACAAAGAGCCTCATTGCACTGACATTACATGACCAGCCCTGCTCTCTGAAGAGAGAGCAGTGTTGTGATAGGATCCGAATGCTGAAACTCACATGCTGCTAATCATCCTGGGTCTGAGTTGTAACTGGTCATTGTTACTACCACTCATGCACTGGTGCATGGTCTCCATGGACTCTGACCCCTTTTTCACTGAAACAGGGTTCTGGCAAAGAGAGAGCCTATTCAAAGGCAAAGGCCCTACTCATAGGAACCCATTGTTCAAGTATGTGAGAGCCATTCTCTACTGATGGTCCCTTAATTTTCCAGGCTTAGTTTTCTTCCAATGTGCGAAGTTCCCACTACAAAGTGGATAGTTCTATTTAAGAACATTGTAACTGTCTTTATGAAGACAGATGGTATTCATTACTGGACATTGTCATTTCTATGACGCTGACTATCCTCTCACTTCTGGATTCTTTTCAGATTTGTTTTGAGAGAAAAAATAAAGGTTTCTGTGCAGCTGCTGTAGCACACCTTATTTGTCTCTCTCTCTTGTCCACACTCTCTGCTCAACTGGCCGCCTCCTACTTTTTCATCACCTCTGGTTGGCAAACTTCCTCCTCTGTAGTTCTGGAGCAGCCATTCTGCACATCCTTGCTTTATTGACCTTTCACCTTTTTTTCAAACCACCGATGGAAACAGTTTTCACTTGCCCACTCACCTTCATTTCTCATTCCCTTTGACTCTCTACTCCTATTAAACTATATAGACTAGTGAAGTGTTTGGAGATAGTTTCCTACTAAAAATGCATACAAATGAAGTTATGTATCTCCACTGTTTCATCCAATATAGACTACCACTTGTACAATATCAACGAGCAGAACATATTAAGGATATGAAACTGTAACGTGCTTATTGAAAAATAAATTGAACACCACATACACAAAGGTAACAGTATGTGGTAAGAATTATTTTTAGGACTCCTGCCAAGAAGCTACTATTATAAATGCCAATTAACACACATCTCTGTTGGAATTTGCCATTTTCATCTTTGGGCAACAATCCAACCACGCTCATATCAGAAAAGAGAGCTGCATGCAAAGTGTTCTGGAGTCCCATGGTGCCATACCATAGGACCCCTTTGATAGGATACAGTAATTCTAGGACATATTTATTCATAATCTACAAATATAATTTGATATCTTAATACTGTTATGATTTAAAGATTTGAACAGTCTTTCACACACAATCAAGATATGAGTTGTTTTAGCAACACATTTTATTTAAAAATATTTCTGTACCCATGGTAAAATGCATGTCTGCCCAAAATTAAGGATCTTCTGTGATGTCTTGGAGTAAAGAGCATATTATGATGCGCGTACATATTTTTTTAATAATACAAAACAGATTCCAAATATTTAGAAACTCTTTTCTGTATATTCACTTCATGTATGCTGTGTGTGGTTAAAAAAGTAGACACAGTATGCAGGTAAAATAATATATAGGCAAATTTTAAATAAGATAATTGTTTTATTTTTAATAATATAATTATAAAACCAGTTTTTAACGTGCCCTTTATTATTGCTTTTATGGTTTTTTACAATGCAGTACTGCATGTGGGTTGGGAAATTCAGAGAGTTTTTAGCATACTCCTTTTTATGTATTTTTAAAATAACTTCTCAGCTTCTTTCACTTATAATATATAGTTAGCACCTTTATTAGAAATGAAAGATAAATCTGCAGATCAAGCATGCATCATTCTATTTGTGATCAAGTCAGGGAAATGGCTATCTAATTTGCATTACAATGTGCTTGTTAGTTTTCACTGTCTTATTTGGAAATAAATTTTGGATCTTTCTATTTCTAATGAATCTGGTTTAATCATTGGAAGATACCTCTGCCTGGTTTATTGTAGGCGAAATTACTCAATTTGCCAACTTGAAGGAAAGAAAGGCACCTGTTTAGTGATGCATTTCATAAAATTTCCTTTGGATATACGATACTACTTTTTTTAAATGTTAACAATTGATACATTAATTTTATCTCACAGCTATAAAAAAAAACAGAAAAATTGACTGGATTTATCTCTAATATTTTTCACTATTGGCTTGGAAACAGCTAATATGAAAAAGGTAATGTGCTTTGTCTGTGCCTATGAAGCACTTAGAATCAAGTACAGAATCTTGAATTGCTTAGTCACTTATATTTCTCAGAATATGGCCTGTAGAAAGCAAAGTCCTCTGTTTACAGAGGAAATATATTTTTTCTTATTCTTTAAACAGTTAGCTTCTGCGGTCTCTCAAAATAATCATGAATCCAAAATGAGACTCTAAATGTTGGAGCTTTTCTTTAGTGAGGAAATCTTTTAAGTCCCCATAAACATTATCACTGACTCTTTCTTTCTTTTCAGGCCTACCACATATTCAAGAACAGAATGACCTAAAAGGATTACTAGAAAATCTTCATCAAAATATCCACGCCAAAAAAAGAAAGAATGTTGAAATTATGTGGGTGGCTGCAACGGTAAGCTGCTTTGTTCCAAATACTTTCATATGTGGTGTACTGATTGTCCATATACCTGTTGATATCAGGGCTGTAAGGAGATTTTTAAGGAGGCACTCCAAAAATTTCTGTAGATTTTCTGTCATTTTCAATTGCTGAGTTGTTATAAGAAAGTGACCCTCTCATGGATCTCTCTCATGCTTCCCAATACTTGAATCCTCTGCTTTTTGATTTTTTAAATATTTTTCATTATGTAGCTCATCACAGATACATGGCACAGAGAACTTCTGGAGGAAGAGTGAGGTCACAAAGGACTAGAGGTGGACAATCAGTACCTGTCTTTAAAAAGGAGAAAAATTGGACCCAGGACATTACAGATAGCTGGAAAGATACTGGAAGAAATTATTAATCAGTTTGTAAATATCTCATTAGGTTATATAGGACAGTCAGCATGTATTTGTCAAACACACATCATGCCAAATCTAATTTCCTTCTGTGACAGGAATTACTGGTCTGTTGGATAGTAGGGAAGCAGTAGACTTGACAGTCTTGCATGAGCAAACTAGGGAAATGTAGTCTAGATAAAATTAGTAGAAAGAGGGTAGAAAAAATGGGTAGAAAGCTCTTACTCAAAAAATAGTTATCAAAGATTCATTATCAAACTGGGAGGCCACATTCAGGGTATGTCTACACTACCGAGTTTTTTTTCGGAAAAACAGTTGTTTTTCCGGAGAAAACCCTTCAGTTAACATCCACACTGCAATTGTGTTCTTTTGAAAGAAAATCGAAAGAACAAAGGGTTTTTTCTGGCATTGGTAATCCTCTTTCTATGAGGAAGAAGCCTTTTTCCGAAAGAGCTCTTTCAGAAAAAGGCATATGTAGATGGGGAAGAGGGAGTTCTTACAGAAGAGGGAAGAGGAAAAAGCATAGGTGCCGTGGTGTCCATAGTAATCACAGTTTAAATGTGAGATCATGTCAATTCAGTGTGGATGCTATCTTTCGAAAAAGCAGATCACTTTTTTGAGGCACTTTGGCAATGTGTACGTGCTCTTCCAGAAGAAGTTTTTACGGAAGATCTCTTCCGGAAAAGCTTCTTCCAAAAGAAGCCTGCAGTCTAGATGTAGCCTCAGTGAGGGTCACATAGGCATCTGCCCTGTATCCAGGACGATTCAATATTTCCAATAACTTGAAATTTGGAATGGTGAGTATGCTCATACAATTTGCAGATGACCTCATATTGGCAGGGGTTGCAAGCTCTTTGGAGAACAAGATTAGCATTCACAATTACCTTGACAAGTTACAGAATTGTCTGAAATCAACAAGATTAAAATTCAATAAAGATGAGTATAAAGTATTATATTTGGGAAGAAAAAATCCAATTTCTGCCTTGTAGAAGGAGGTTTACCTACACCAGAAAAAACCCTCTGTTCTGCTGTGTTACTGCGCAAAAGCACATTTGAGGTGTAGACGCTCCACAGGCTTTTGCGCAAAAACATTGCAGTGTAGACGTAGCCTATATTACAGTATTAGGACCTTGGTTACTGATATATGCCCATAAGGATGTTAAAACATTTAAGATACTCCCTTCAGTATCCAAAAGACAGGACTATGCAGCATGAATGACAGTTCTGAGGTTTCTCTTTGAAGTCTGGAGTTAAAATCTCTTTGAAACAATATGCGTGTTTTAAGGTCATTGAGAGAATGGTCAGTCTGGTTAAAATGGCAAGCAACAGTTTTCTCTATGTGAAAGTGCCTGATGTCTGTTTTATGTGCATTGATTCTTTGACGAAGTGTCTGATAAGTTTGTCCAATATACATAGCTTCAAAGAGATTTTAACTCCAGACTTCAAAGAGAAGCCTCAGATCTGTCATTCATGCTTAAATTTGACACTATATGTATAGGCCTTAACAAAGATGCTAATTCTCTCACCCATTACAAAGATAGCTTCCCCGCTTATCACCCCTAATATCATTACCTCACAGACACTAACCTTCCCCCCTCAACCCCCTTTGTTCTAAAATCTGATTTGTCAATTTTATGTGTTCACTTTTTTTTTTTTTTGATTGTATCCCTTTGGTATATATGGTTGAGCCAATTTTCTTCCACAAATTGATCTGAGGAAGTGGGTCTGGCCCACGAAAGCTCATCACCTAATATACCATTTTGTTAGTCTTTAAAGTGCTACATAGTCCTGTTGTTTGTTTCAGCTAGACCAGACTAACACGGCTGCATCTCTATCACTATCCTTCAGTATCCAGTTACTGTTTATATCAACAATGGGCAACCAAAGCTAATGAGTGACCCTCCCTCATCTCAGTGGACTGCAACATTGTTGTTATCAAGAAATCTCCTGGGATATGGTAGTACTGCTTACTGCACTTGTGTACTTGGAATTTGCGGAGGTGTGCCCATTGAAATGTAGCAGCACTTTGGATGCAGAGGGAGCATATACAGCTCTCACGGTCAGTGCTATGTGCAGTCAGCACACACTAGACTTCATAGAATCATAGAATAATAGGACTGGAAGGGACCTCAAGAGGTCATCGAGTCCAGCCCCCCGCCCTCAAGGCAGGACCAAGCTCCGTCTACACCATCCCTGACAGATGTCTATCTAACCTGTTCTTAAATATCTCCAGAGAGGGAGATTCCACCACCTCCCTTGGCAATTTATTCCAATATTTGACCACCCTGACAGTTAGGAATGTTTTCCTAATGTCCAATCTAAACCTCCCCTGCTGCACTTTAAGCCCATTACTCCATGTCCTGTCCTCAGAAACCAAGAGGAACAAATTTTCTCCTTCCTCCTTGTGACACCCTTTTAGATATTTGAAAACCACTATCATGTCCCCCCTTAATCTTCTTTTTTCCAAACTAAACAAGCCCAGTTCATGAAGCCTGGCTTCATAGGCTTCTCTAGACCTTTAATCATTCTTGTCACTCTTCTCTGTACCCTTTCCAATTTCTCCACATCTTTCTTGAAATGTGGCGCCCAGAACTGGACACAGTACTCCAGCTGAGGCCTAACTAGTGCAGAATAGAGCGGCAGAATGACTTCACGAGTTTTGCTTACAACACACCTGTTGATACAACCTAGAATCATATTTGCTTTTTTGGCAACAGCATCACACTGTTGACTCATATTCAACTTGTGGTCCACTATGACCCCTAGATCCCTTTCCGCCATGCTCCTTCCTAGACAGTCGCTTCCCATCTTGTATGTATGGAACTGATTGTTCCTTCCTAAGTGGAGCACTCTGCATTTCTCCTTATTAAACCTCATCCTGTTTACCTCCGACCATTTCTCTAACTTGCTAAGGTCATTTTGAATTATGTCCCTATCCTCCAAAGAAGTTGCAACCCCACCCAGTTTGGTATCATCTGCAAACTTAATAAGAGTACTCTCTATCCCAATATCTACATCATTGATGAAGATATTGAACAGTACGGGTCCCAAAACAGACCCTTGAGGAACTCCACTTGTTATCCCTTTCCAGCAGGATTTAGAACCGTTAACAACAACTCCATGTGCCCTTCCTTTTATGCTTGTCACTCTAGCAATACTGGTAGAAAAATAACCACATGGACAGAAACCAACAGAATCTGGCAACTCTATGTGTAAACAAAATGTCTCATAGGCCTATGCACAGGGTTGCCAGATTCTGCTGGTTTCTGTCTGCATAGAACCCAGAGGGATTGCACGTGGCCTGCAGGCTGGAGGTCACCCATCACTGGTTTATACAGTGAATCTTTATCTAATTTGAAATAAATTCATTATTGTGGCATACTGAACTTTGGTTATTCATAAGTACCCTGCTTTTATTCTTAAGAGTACAACGAGCCTCAGGGCCTGTTGCAAAACATAATTACTTGGTTTAGCTCCAGTTGAATATTTCTGTACACAGACTCTCTTGTTCATAGTTTTAAATATGAAGGTACTTTAATTTGTAAATGAATATCTAGCTGCTACTGAGATAGGCACTCTACAAATCACCTTTAAGTAAATTACACATATTTCATTTTTGTAGCTACTGTCACCATGACAGTTATGCATTCCAACTACAGTGATTAAAGCACCGATCAACTAGATATTGTATTTGAAGAAATACAAACTAAGGAAATAAAAAACAAAAAAGGTAAATTGAACAAAGGAAATCCTCCGAGAAAAATAAATTAATAAATAAAACACCTATTTTTTTTGAAGAGCTCTTACAGTAGGAACATGAAATTTGGAAGGGGATTTATCCAGAGGTCCCACTGGTGTCCTTTGCTGGCTGTGTGAAAATCTATTCAGATTTGAATGAGTTACAAGCTATCCAAGGCCACTATTTTCAATCCATGCTATGCTCCACAGAGCTTGAGACAAGGTTGGTGCTTAAAAAAAATACCTTCTGTCTGCACTGAGCCTCCTCTCAGATTTCCTTAGCACTAAATATGCTCCCCAGAATCTCCTCCATCTCATGCTATAATAACCAAATACTGGTGTGATGTCTCCACCCTCTCTGTCCAAACTGTTTCCTCTCTATTCTGGCTGGTGCCAGGTCTATTATTCCTCTATTGGTAGAGCCTGCAGAGGGAAGAGAAGGCACTGATTCTGCTTCATCACTTCTGTGGCTGGACTACAAGGCTACTACATAGTAAACTCCTGAATAACAATCTGCATACAAGAGAGAGGTGTCTCCTGAAGCAGGGGGTCTCTGAAACATTTCCTTAAAAAATAAAGACTAAAGGTCCCTGATGTTCTCTCTGCCTTCCATTGACTATTGGGGAGCGGTGGAGACAGAGTCTGTATCAAGAGGTCCCATCTTTCCCAAATGATAGCTTACTTTTGTAACTGTCAGTCAGCTATGTAGATGGAGGGGTTCTATGACTGTCAGTCAAGAACATCAACCTGAACACCAGTATCGTTTCCTGCTAACACAACACATCGGAGGGAGGGAGCATGGTTGGGTAGCCATGGAACATAGCTTGCGGTTGCTGTCAGAGGGTCCTCTTGCAACCCCAGTATCTGAATAAATCCAGTGAGCCTGTGGAACACATGACCTCACCCTGTATAGATTTTTGAAATTAGGATGTTTAGTATTGGTATCCAAAGGGGTGCAATTTATAACTTGCTTGGTAGTCTAAAGGTTGGAACCAAATTCTCTGCCAGTGTAAACAGGAACAACACCATGGATTTCAGTGGAGTTATGGAAGTTCCTACTAGCAGAAAAATTCCCTTATATGTTGTAGTATAAAGGCAACCCTTTTTCTTTCTCTGCATTTTCAAATACACAAAACTATACAGGGCAAAGGGTTTTACCTTTTTTTAAACAGTGGAAACAATCAGATTTCAGTGGCACATCACAGACTGTTTTAGCAGTAAAGTTTTTACAGTTTTATATATTGCTCATGCTTTTTGTAATAGGGTAATAAATGTAACAACATTTATTACAATGTAAATTCATTGTGTGTAAAAAGGTAAGTCTTTTTCTGATAGGAATTCTGCAATTATCATACAACATTACTCTCAAAAGAAGTAAAAAGATAAATCAGCATGGGACTCTAAAATAATCAACAAAGAACAGAATAGGGTTTATTTTCAATTCACATCTCCAGAGAATTCTTTTGTCATCCATTCAGTGAATCTTTAAAATACTTCAGGGGGGAAAAAAAGCATTTTTCTACTTTACAACCCCTTCAAAGTTTGCCCTTATACTACCCTATTTTTCAATTAACCCCCTGCAATTGTCAAGTCTGGAGCTCTTGATGTTGATACCGTAATATGTTAGCATATTTATATTGTGAAATCACAATTTCCTGCTGTAAAGGATTAATTAGATTATTGTAATAAATATATTATTGCTCATTATAATGGGACTACATTTAATGTACATTTAAAGTCTACATTTGCTATGTGTTACCATAGACATTTCTTATTCTAAATATTGGAGACCGGAGGAAAACGGGTCATCTTTGATTCCATTGAAAGGCAAATGTTAGCAGATGCTGACAATGTAAAGGTAACCACTATGGGTACGTCTACACAGCAACATTATTTCAAAATAACTAGCATTATTTCGAAATAACTTAGTCTGCATCTACACAGCAGGCAGTTATTTCAAAATACAATGGAGTCCAGATTAACCGACACCCGGTAATCTGACACTCCGCTTTATCAGACCCTGCAGCTCCCGGGGACTTTGTCGGATACAGCGCGGGCCGAGAGAATGGCCCCGCTTGCTGCCCCGTCACTCTCTAGGAGAAGCTGCTGCTGGTGGCAGGGTGGGCTTCTCCTAGAGAGCAAGGGAACAGCTGATGCTGTTCTGCAGGGACTTCGTCCCCGGCAGGAGCGGCATCAGCTGTTCCATTGCGCTCTACAGTAGAGTCTGTATCATCCGACATATTCGGTAATCCGACCATGTGTCAGTCCCATTTAGGTCAGATGATAGGGACTCTACTGTAATGTCGAAATGCTGTCAAGCTGGAGGACTTCTTACTCTGGAGCCTGTAACTCCTATTGTACAAGGAGTAATAGAGCAGTAGCCATGTTAGTCTGATTTTGGTAAAATAAAAGGAAAAAATATGTAGCACTTTAAAGACTAACAAGATAGTTTATTAGGTGATGAGCTTTTGTGGGCCAGACCCACTTCTCTTTCAGAATATGACTTGAAGAACTGGCATGACCAAACATAACAAAGGAATACAATGAAGAAAGTGAACACATTATAAACTAACATCAGATTTTAGAACAGAAGGTGGTATGAGAGAGAGAGAGGGAAGGAGGAAATAGCTTATTGTAAATCAATGAATGGCTAATCTGGAGTTACTAGGACTATCAGTAGGTCTTTGTAATGTGTAAGGTAATTAGCATCTTTATTAAGGCCCATTTGTAATGTGTTGCATTTAAGCATGAATGAAAGTTCTGAAGTTTCTCTCTGTAATCTGGTGTTAAAGTCTGGCAACCAAACGCAATGCCAACTCTGCCCATATATCTATACTAGCGAATTCATCACTGGAGCCAATAACATAAGCTACCAAATCAAAAGGTCATTTGACTGCACAGCTGGTAATTTGATCTATGCCATCAAATGCCAGCAATGCCCCACTGGTATATATTTTAGACAAACTGGACAGTCTCTGCAGGAAAGAATCAATGGATACAAATCAGATATATGTAAAGGAAACATACAGAAATCTATTGGGGAACACTTTAATTTTCCTAATCACTGTTTAAAAGATCTTCAAGTGGCTGTCTTGTCACAAACCAATTCTACTAGCCAGATACACAGAGAATCATTGGAATTAGAATAGTGATAGAAATGTAGCCGTGTTAGTCTGGGGTAGTTGAAGCAAAATGCAGGACAATGTAGCACTTTAAAGACTAACAAGATGGTTTATTAGATGATGAGCTTTCGTGGGCCAGACCCACTTCCTCAGATCAAATAGTGGAAGAAAGTAGTCACAACCATATATACCAAAGGATACAATTAAAAAAAAGAACAAATATGAAAAGGACAAATCACATTGCAGAACAGAAGGAGGAGGCGGGGGGGTGGGAAGGGGGAGGAAGGAAGGTAAGTGTCTGTGAATTGATGATATTAGAGGTAGGGAGAGTGGGATGTTTGTGAGTTAATGGTATTACAGGTGATAATTGGGGAAACTGTCTTGATAATGGGTGAGAAAGTTCAAAGATTAATGGACTCAATCATGACGAAGGATGGTTGGGACACTATCTACCTAACAGTCAATGAAGGTACAAACTGCTCTTTGTGTAGATTCCTATGTCAGGAAGGATACTATCAATTGACTTTGATTCTTATCTGTTTCATTTTAACTATCTAAACTTCAGATTCTTTCTCATTCACTCTGCCCTCTGCTCCCTGTCACCCACCCCCTCCTTTTTTGTCTTCCCCTCTCCCAGCTCTCCCCTGCCCCCTCACTTCTCTCCTGTTTATTTTGGAGAGAATTCCAGTCATCTGAAGAAGTGAGCTGTGTCCATGAAAGCTCATGATACCATCTACATGTTTTGTTAGTCTATAAAGTGCTACCAGACCGTTTGTTGTTTTTTTCTGTACAGACTAACTCAGCTACCCCCTGAAGCAGCCAAAAAAAAAAAAAGATGAAAATGGTTACCAAAAAAAAAGTAAGCCTTCCTGGGTGGGAATTCTCTAATAAAACATGAGTTACTTTGTGCTATCCTTTACAGTGTATGTGATGCTGAAAAGTAATAGTTTGGTTTGTCTGTTTTATAGATTTGCCGCAAGCTAAATGGAATCCGTTTTACCTGTTGCAAAAGTGCCAAAGACAGGACATCCATGTCAGTGACACTAGAACAGTGCTCAATCTTGAGAGATGAACATCAGCTACACAAGGACTTCTTTATCCGCGCACTGGACTGTATGAGAAGGTATGTTTTTGTTTTTTTATTGTGTTTTTGTTGCTGTTGGGTTTTGTTTCAAACACATGTATAGACTAAATTGCCTTAGTACTAGGTAGTATAGGTTGGACCTCCCTGGTCCAGCACCCTCAGGACCAGACTGGTCCCAAATGAGGGAGCTTGCTGGTACAGGGGCTCTCTGGTCCAGCAACATCAGTGGTCCTATTGGACCAGAGAGTCCCAGACAAGAGAGGTTCAACCTGTAATAAATGTGTTGCAGGCTAAAACTTGCTTTATTGAGGAGTGAGGACTGCAGTATTTTGACCTAGTTACTTAGCAGTTCATTTTTAATTTTTGTATAGGCTTCCATAAGAGACACAATTGTAGCAACATGCCCACACATCTAAGAAAGAAAAAAATACTCTATAAAAACTTTCCAAGATGTTTAATATCTTGTTGTTTCAATACAATTTAGCTGGACCAAACATAACCTAAATCAGGATACGTATTTGTTATAATTGGTAGTTATCCAAGTTAAAAAGGATGGTCAAGCAAGTTTAGATTGATGTTTGTAATAGATTAAATTGTCATTTTTTAGGAATTTAACATTGCATTAAGTATAGCTGTGCAAACATGAAGACAGTAATAATTAAGAATGTGTAATTAAAAGGTGTTAGAGTTTTTTTAATATTTGCATGTTGGTCTCAGGAAATAATTTCTAGTGAAAAAATTTAGATAAAATTAATCTGGTCCCTACACTGTGTTATCTATCACTCCTATAAGAACAGATATTTCATAGATAATTATTTTAAGTAGGTCTAACAATTAATCTCAGTTAACTCACATGATTAACTAAAAATTGTATTTAAATAAACTTAATCAGTTTTAATCACACTGTCAAACAATAGAATACCAACTGAAATTAATGAAATATTTTGGGTGTTTTTATGCATTTTGAAATATATTTATTTCAGTGTACAATGCTTAGGTTATTGTTTTTATTATAAATATTTGCACTGTAAAAACAATAAATACAAGTTGTATTTTAACCCTGGGGGAATTCTGTAATTTTACTATGGCTCCAAATTACAACAATTGCAGCTTCCCCCAGGACTGAGTATTTTGCAGTTCATCTTACGCAACTACTATTGTGCAATCTCTTTATTGTGAAAAATGCAACTTAAAATATTTGTATTACATAATATGCACTCAAAACTAAAACAATGTAAAACTTTAGAGCCTACAAGTTCACTCAGTCCTTTTTCTTGTTCAGCCAATCCTTCAGACAAACAAGTTTATTTACATTTGCAGGAGATAATGCTTCCTACTTCTTGTTTACAATGTCAACTGAAAGTGAACAAAGTTGTTCATGTGACACTGTTCTAGCTGGTGTTTCAAGATATTTGCCTGCCAGATGCACCAAAGGTTCATATGTCTTTTCATGCTCGATAATGATCCAAAGCAGCACGGACCAGTGCATGTTCATTTTCATCATCTGAGTCAGATGCCACCAGAAGGTTTGATTTTTCTTTTAAGGTGGTTGGGATTCTTTAGTTTCCAAATCAGAGTGTTGCTCTTTCAAGACTTCTGAAGGTATGCTCTGTGTCTCATCCCTCTCAGATTTTGGGATGGCACTTCAGATTCTTAGATCTTGACTGAAGTAGTATGGCTATTTTTAGAAATCTCTCATTGGTACTTTCTTTGTGTTTTGTCAAGTCTGAGACTGTTTTAAAAAAAAAACGTGCTGGGTCATCATCCAAGACTGCTAAAATAAAATAAAAATATGGCAGAATACAGATAAAACAGAGCAGGAAACACACAATTCTCCCTGAAGGAGTTCAGCTACAGATTTAATTAATCAAGTACCAGTATAGAAGCATGTCCTCTGGAATTGTGGCCAAAACAAAAAGGGGCAATACAAGTGGTTAGCATATCTGGAACATAAAAATACCTTGCAATTCTGGCTATGAAACTGTCATATGAACACCTATTCTCACTTTTAGGTGACATTGTAAAAAAAGAATCAGGCAGCATTATTTCCCATAAATGCAAACAAATGTGTTTGAGCGGCTGGCTGAAACAAGAAGTAGGACTGAGTGGACTGTAGATTCTAGTTTTACATTGTTTTTTAATGCAATTTTTTTACAAAAGTCTATAATTTCAAGGTCATCTTTCATGGTAAAGAGACTGCATTACAGTACTTATATTAGGTGAATTGAAAAATGCTTTTACTTTTGGGAGGGTTACAGTGCAAATATTTTTAATCGTGTATGAATATAAAGTTAACATTGTACACTTTGTATTCTGGGTAGTAATTGAAATGAATATATTGGAAAATATAGAAAACATCCACAAAATTTAAATTGGCATCCTGTTATTAACAGTGTAAATAATCATGATTAATTTTTTAATTGCATAATAAATTGATTCATTTTTAATAGTTTGAGAGCCCAAATTTTTATGAATACAGTAGGACTTTTAAAATAAAAACATTTTGCATGTAGGATCCTTAATGAATATTTTACAAGAATATTTGCAAAACCATAAATTTCAGCACAGCCTCTTAAGATGTAATAAATTGTCCTCTACTACACTGTGCAACGTATTATTAGAATTTCTTCCTTAATTTGTTTAAATTGGATTTGTGCAACTCAAAACTAAGTTACACATTGTTTTAAAGTTTTAGTAACGGTCCAAACAGATAATTTCATATCCTGCTGCAAGAAGTTGTTTTTATGGATTAATTTCAGAAGCAGTTAAATCTAAACTTATCCCTCTCCTTCAGTAGATAACTTGTTTCTTTTTAAATAACATATGTAATTGCTAGAAAGGATAATTCAGCGAAGCAGTCTGAGGATTGACATGTATTGCCAACTTCCAAGTTGCTTATTTACTGTGATGATATACTAAAGTACCATTTCATATATATCATTAGTACCCCAAACTCTTGGACCACTACAGTTTTTTCAATTAGTGAGTGACACTTGCATGCACTATCTTTCATACCTTCATGTTTTACCCCTAATGAGCTATTCCTGAATTTTCTACATTGAACACTTGTCTGTTGGCATTTCAGTTCTGTTTTTCTTTCATAAGCAATCAATAAATGTGACTTTTAAAAAGCTACCCTAAATAGTGGATATAAGTATCTCAACCATATAAAATAAATTATGACGAGTAAGACTCATAGGATGAATGGAAAAATTCAGCCATTAGAAACTCTATAAATAGGATTTTGTATATTGTACAAACTAACTTGTCAGCACAAAAGTATTGTAGGTTTTTGCAGACTAAATGCTCCTTGCACTGGAACTAGTAGTGTCTAATGTCATTATAATTGATTTGGAGAATGAAATGAGTAATGCACGGATAAAATTTGCAGATGGTACTAAAATTGGAGATAGGTAGTAGCAGAAAATGCAAATAGACATGGAGAACATTTAGAGTATTGGGCAATTAATAAAATGTTAATTTAGTAAGAGACAAAATTAAAATGTAGGCCCCAACTCAGGAAAGCATTCCTATTTAGGAAGGGCACTTAAACACCTGCTAAACTTTAAACTCATACTTAAAGTTCATTTTCTTAAGTGCTTTCATGGATCGGGACATTACAGAAGAACACTACTAAATGCTTTAAAAAATGAAGTATGTTGAACAGATGGCACAGTAATGCTGAAGATTATTTAGGATTCTAGTGTAATGGATTGGCTCAGTGAGTGTGCTCATGTTTTCCCCTAGGGATTGGCACCTGTGACCAGAATAGCCTACTGCTTATTGATAGCTAATGGAGTGATTCCTTAGGCCCAGGTGATAGGTTGAGTAGTTGCAACCTTTTGCTCCTAGTGCTGAAGGTTCTAGGTAGGGATGTAAGCGACTGGTCAACTGTCCGTTAAGCATAAGCTTGACTAGTTGTTTTCCCCACACACACACTTGCTGTCTCTAACGGGAAAAGGGGGAGCCGGTGCTGGGGGGGAGCCAGCTTGGAAGCCAGCTTCCCCCCAGCATGGTGTCCGCAGCGGGCAGGGGAGGCATCAGGGTAGCAGGGACCAGGTGGCTGCTCTTAATACATTTAAAAAGCAGAGGTGCAGCAAAGAGAATCGGGCATGAGCCGGGACAGCTGATTCCTGGCTTGTGCTGGGGCCCCTTCACTGCACCTCTGATTTTTAAACATATTAAGATCCTGCCACATCTTAACACATTTAAAAGGCAGAGCCCCAGGGCCGGAAGCTAATTGTGCTGTGGCTCCCTCACTTATCGACTAATCAACTAGTTGATGAAATTACATCTAATAGTTCATTAAACTAAATTTAACATCCCTACTCTGTATCAGAGGCAGCAAAGGGGGAGCCGGTGCTGGGCAAGGGGAGCCACACGGTCTCCACTGGGAGAGGGTGGCAGAGGCACAGGGAAAACAGCTCAAGCGGGGGAACTCAAGGAGTCCCCACACATGACGGGTCCTACGTGCTGTGCCCCTGCCTTTGAAATGTAGCAGGAGCTCCACAGGTCTCTTGCTACATTTCAAAGGCAGAAATGCCACAGTCGGGACCCATGCTTGAGTCCCCGCTCACCCCAATTCCTATTGCGCCTCTGCATTTGAAATGTAGTATGAGCCCTGCGTTCCTGCTATATTTAAAAGGCAGAGGTGCAGCTGGGATAGCAAGCACCCCACCTCCTCCTTATGGACTAATTGAGTAGTCGATAAAAATTCCATTGATTACTCAATTAGCTGACTGATTGAAATTTAACATCCCCAGTTCATGGTTCTGGTCATCTCTGGTGATCTTGGTGTCAGCATCCACCACATTTTCTGACAGTATTACATATTAATTTGCAGTATGAAATACAATAAAAAGGCAAATCTGGTGTATATACCCTGGTATATACAAGAATTGCTTGTGAAGCCAAGTGGTAATAATCTCTCTCTATTCAGTGGAACCAGCTGAGTTTTATTTGGTTTACATTGGTGTAAATTAGAACTGAATATGTTCTGCTGTTAATTAAACCTTTTTTTTTTTTAAATGAGGGGATTT